TGTTTGAAACGCACAGATGAACTGACGAGTTTCTTTTCTCAATTTACTCTGAATTAACTTTCATCTTTTTATTTTGGGGTAAAAACAGGATTTTCTAAGGGTAGGACAATTCCAAGAGCTGTAATTAGTCCCCCCCCCCCCAAATAAAAACACCAAAACAAAACGTGTTTTACTGCGGGGATAGTGTTCTTTGGGTTCAAAATATGACCAAAATGTTAGTTCTTTATTGAGTTTTCTTATTTGAAAAAACATTTCATCTAGTCTGCTTCATAGTTTTTCTTCAAATTGTTCTTGTCTCTGCAGCAAAAATTGCAAATTTCTTAGTCTGAAACTGTCCAATACAGTACAGGACTCTTCTGTAACTGACTGACTGGTCTGAAATGTTAAATCTTTGAAGCTTTCAAGACAAATCTTGAATTTCCTACCTCTGCTTTTCAGTCTTTACCGTTAGTTACTATTCACTCAAATTACAATTATCAAATTGTTGTAACATTTTATTTCCCCTTTCCTGCTTTGCAATCAGCAGTTGTTGTTTTTATTTCAATCCTTATATACATTCTTCTTGACGTCTGCTTTTGGTCTGTAATTGATCATTTCTTTCTTTCTTCTTTTTGTTCTCTGTACTGAAGCTTAAAAAAAGGCAGGACAGATTCAGTCATATAAAAATTGTGTTTATCTTCTGCATGTATTCCCGTTTTGAACTAAACTGAACTGACTTTGGCTACGGTTTCAGCTGGACACCCACAGAACTTCAAAACGGAAATATTCCCCACAAATCACAAAAAAGGTATCTTCTCTCTTACAATAATAGCAATGTCACGGTGAAGCAGTAGCTTTGCATGTTTGATGCTGGATGTTCAGCTGCACGTTGAATTAGTTCTAATGTAATGAATAAAGAACGTACTGTAGGTTCGTTCAATGTTTTTTGTTTTTTTTAAAGCATTTAAAGGCTGCCGTTCTGTAGCCTTATCTCAGACTAACACGGTCAGACCCACCAAATCACACCCATGAAAATCCACTAACAGAAGCATGAATGCTCCGTCTTGCCTTGCACAGCAGTTTTAATCTGCCTCTTGCTATCGAGGAACATGGCATTTGCTGCAGCGCAGAAATCATTAAGGCATTTGCATCACGTTGAGCATCAGCTTTCATTGTTGAGCATTTATGCAAATGAGCCAGGGCTTGTTTCTTAGCAGTGCATGTCTGCATGTCTGGGGAGATGTTAACGCTCATGCGGTTTCACCTCTAAAGAAAACAACGCACGGATCGCTGTAGACTCATTTGTGTGGTTGCTGTTTTGTTTTTTGTTTGTTTGTGTGTGTGTGTGAATGTGTCTGCTCTCTTGGCTTTTTTGCACATAAACTTAACCACCTCTGTATGTCTATGTGATGCTGACTGTTTATTTCTCTGCTACACGACCTCACATCGTAGACTGTACATAAGAAATGGACGCAGCCATGTGATTGCACAGGTGAAGCTGTTCCTTGGTATTGAAGTTGCAGTTGGGTTAAATGTGACTCATATTGCTACTCTCTGTTACTTTTAAGACAAAATTAAGGAACTTGCTGCAGGACAAATTCTTAAAGCTGCAGTACGTATTTTTAGAACAAATGACTACTGCCAAGACATCTTTAAAAGTTACAGTAGGAAAACAGAAAGACTTAAGGTCAAAAAGTCACTTTACAAGCAGGCTTTTAATTACTATTAAACTGCATCATGTGACTAATAAAGCTGCAGTAGGGTAGTTTAACAGTGAGTAGCTGTAGCAAAAAAAGCTGCTAGCAAAAAAGGTAGTAGTACAGTACCCAACCTTTTTTTGTTTTTACAAAATTGTGATAAAGACTTTTAAGAGATGCAGCAAAGAACCTATTGAGCTGAAATATGTTGGTTATAAAGAAACATTCAAAGTAACCGTAAATGCTGCAGTAGGTGACTTTAAAAGGTAACTGTTAGAAACAAAGACAGTTACCTACTGCAGCTTTATTGGCAGTTTATGGTCTCAGTCTCTAGTTGACTTCAGTTACACAACGTGGCCGATTAAGCTTAACATGAGACGCACTAAAGGTTGCAAGGCAGGTGTTGTAATTTCACACTTGAAGACTGAGTCGTCTCCGACAGCTTTGGAGGTTTTTATTTTAACTGTTTCTTGTGTGTTACAGTTCATCTTAGAGGATTTTAAAACCTCTGAAATTAACACATTTAAAATTAAGATAACATCACAACATTTTTACCATGGATGGCAAAACGATTGAAATGACATTTGACAGGACCTGGATTTACGTCCTTATACAGGCAAACAATCAGCTGTGACCGGTTAAAACACATCACAAGGAGAATTCTTTGCTGCTTTCATAGATTTGGCCTTCCTCTCTGGTAAAAGCTGAGACCACATCCTGTGGTGTGTGTTTTCCTCTAGATAGATTCAAATTTTAACCAACATCATGTTACTTTGAGAAAGGAAAACTAGTTTTTGACCATAAACTGTGAGTGCCATTATAAACTGAGACAAGAGTTTCCTTGTTTTCCCATAGACTTTTTAATAACTACCTGTGTAAACAGTGACACTCCCTCCCTTCGCAATTCATGTTTGTAGCCCACTGGCGTCGTCCATTTCTTACATTGCATCTATGCCACACAAACGCACACCACAGTCTTCTCTGCACCCTGTCCCTGTCAGTATGCATTATGTTCTTGGGGTTTCCTCTGTTTGTCTTTGCTGGTCGCGCCAAAGCTGAGCCTGCCCGACAGACAACCACGAAGAGGAGGAAACGGAAGAACTCAGCCAGCAGCGCCAACAGCAATGTGGGCACCGCGGCCGGCAAGAAACGCAGCCCCGCCACCAACTTCAGCCTCTCCAGTCAGGTACCTGTAAGCATCAGCTCCACTCTGGTTTGCCTCTCTTTTACTCTTCTTTTCTCTTACATCTGTGCCAGACAGGCACAAAGGTTTTAAGATGTTTTCAGCAGCTTATGAGTTTAAAGTTTAAAGTTTATTTAAAGAAATAAAAGACGGAAAAACCAATGAGACTGAAGAAATCCCAAGGGACCGGTTTAAAAACATGTCATTACTTAAAATACAAAGAGAAAGACATCAAATGTCACACAAAGTGACAGAGCGGGCGTTAAAACAATCAAAGCCAACGGTATTAGAAGAAACTTGAAATTATTAAATAAAAGAAAAGGTGAGAAAATGTGCGACTCCAGTTGCTTTTGTACATGTAGTGTCACATCACTAAGCAGAGATGCATCTCTATAATTATCCGTTATTATTTTATTGACTGTGGTGCTTGTGTCTCAGAGCGCAGTGTGTACAATACTGTACATTTTAAAAGACCCCAGATAACCTGCCCGACCTAAAATGTGACCATAGCCTAAAGGGATGATAGAATAAATGTATAAAATCTGGACAAAATTTCAAATAATGTGGGTGGAAAAAGTGACACTGTGGCCTTTTTCAACCACTGCACTCCAAATGCCCTTCAGCAAATCATTGAAGGCCATAGGAATGGGAGCATGTGCTCAGCATCGGACTCACTATACTGTAGCTGCTGCTGTTACTTAGTTAGTACAGCAGTCAATAAACACAGTCAGTCAGTGCATTAGTGGTTGTCACTGTTGCCTTACAGTGGGAAGGTCACCTGTTTGTTACATGGTTGGTCGTTATTTAGATATGTTTGAATGTTGATTTATCTTTGTGGACCAGTTTCTTCCAACCATCTGTTAACATGCAGATAGAAGATTCATTTAACCCACAACCCTTGGGTTGGGTTAGGGTTGTGAGTTAGGGTTATGGAAACTTTTGATTGTTATGAATCACCTGTGATTTAAGTGCAGGGAATCTAAATACAAGGCAACGCTGTGTGAAGTGGCACACATTAAGATCAAGACAAAAAATGATGCATTTGATTGTTGGTAATATTCAATTCTACCTTTATCATAAGAGAGTAAAGGCACTATTGGCTTAACTTGATTTTTTTTAATTTGTTTGTTTATATTTGTTCTTACTGGAGCAAACATATCCTGGATGTGGAATATGTTTTAAGGACATATTGATTTTTCAATCTGTGTTTTCTACAACATGTTTTAATCAATAGATAAACTTCCTAATCTATTTTTTCTATTATTGTTTGGGATCAGTTTTCAGTAAACTTCACTTGAGTTGGAATGGTTGTTTTTTACATTAAATGTTTTTTTTAATAAATGGCATACTTTATTTTAGCACTTTTCAACTTTAAGCTGTTTTTCCCACTATTCATGTTAACAATTTGCTTTTTTTTTTCTGGCTTAACATCTGTCTCTCGTCTGTTTAAAAGCTAGGATTTAATTATATTGACAATGAAAAGATATTTAAATGAATCAGATTTGTGTGCCGTGTAAATAAATAAAATTAAAGTAGAAAAAAAGTAGAAAAAAAAGTTTAACCCCATGATTCCTGTGTTTTGGCCAAGATGCTTAAAAGATCAAATGACAAATGGAACATAATTTTCTGTCAACTTTGGTTTTCATTTACAGTAGATCAATGGCTACTTTTGTGTTTCTCTACCAACCTCACTGTGAGTGAATAAATGCATTAGCACTCCTACATATCCCATTAGGCAGAATTAGCCTTTGCAGAGATAACAAACACACATTACAGCCCAAGTAGTGATTCTGAAGTCTTAAAATCCTAGTTACGTTTGGTATCAGAATGCTTTGAGTGGAATGGTGTGGAACAAGTGCTGCACAGGGTTTGTGTACAGAATAGTAAATTGGTTGCGGTAGTGTAAATTCTTTGCAGTAGTGTAAATTTAACACATCACTTTTATAATAAACGCTCGTAGGACTCAAACAGAAGACACAACACGGCACAGTGGCAACAAATTCTCAAGAGACAAGTGGAACGTGTGCTGTACCGTTCAGCTGTTTAAGAGGCCGTTGAACCTCTCACTGTGTCAAGTGGCCTGTTGTGGAAGCAGAAACAGACGTGCATATGCTGAGACAGCCTCTTGGTGCAGATCTTTTTTTTTTCTCAGAATGAGGGCAAAGCAATAAAATATTTGAGATTATATTAATTTGGTATTGATATGTGAGCATTTTCTAATGATCTTTATCTAATTTCATGTACTTTATGGGTCCAAAGTTTGGGTTCATGTTGTTGCATATTAGTAAATATAAACAGACTTTTTGTTGGACATTTTAAATTGAGAGACAAACAGTCTAGTCGTTTGTAGGGAATACTGTAGATCTATATATAGACGTGGTATTCTATGTGAGGATGGATTTTTTTTTTTTTTTTTTTGCTACAGGTAAGGGCCACTCCTTCACCTCTGGCACCTTTGGCTAGAAAACACAATTTTTGTGACATTTTTGGGAGTAATTAGGGGAAAAACACACTCCTGATTCCACCTATACACACACACACACACTTATTCTGTCTCTCATAGTCACCCATATTGTCACCTTTAGAGATTTGTTGCCTTCACTCTCTTCATTTACCCACTCCTCTCCATCTCATACATACATCTGTCCACACACACACACACGCACACACATTTTCAGTGCAATTGTTTTCTCTCTGGAAGGCAGTTTGGCTCAGTTCCAGCTCTCATTATCACAGATATCTGTATACACCCTCCACCCCCATGCCTCCTTTACTTGCATAAAGTATGGCCCCCTAACATCACCTTCACACACACACACACACACACACACATGCAGCAGTAGCCTCTAATGCCTCGCATTCACACGCCTCTCAAAGAGTGGCAGCGTGGCTGCTAACATGCTGGTTACATATGTTGTGCGCCTGCTGTCTTTGTCTGAGAAGTTGTTCGTTTGTGGCTGAGCACCAGCCTACGTGAGTCCAATGACAATCAGGAGTGGACCCTCACAAGGGGGAGGCTGGGGGGTAGTTGTGGAAGTGGGAGGGGAGGGGAGGCGGGGGTTTACCAGCCGCTGGATGAGTGTGTGGAGTAAAGTCGGGGTAGGGGAAGGAGGGAGGGGAGATGAAGGGGGGTAGCGTTCATAAGACAATCAACACCGACCTCTTGTGGTTTGAGTTAAATGTAGTGATGTTTATTATGGCCATGCGGGGCTGGAGCAGCAGGGATTTATACTTACCCTCCTCATTAGCCCTTAACATTTTTGTTCAATTCGTCCTTTAATTTTACTGACAAGTCTTTTTTAATAACTTCAAATGTTTTGGAATAATACCCCTGGAAACAGTATTACTGTATGTATCTTTAAATTGACCTTTTTTATTTTAACTTAACTTGGGGATTCCTGTTAAAAATTCCTGTTATATGTACTGCTATTCCATAAGTCACAATATATCAATTTTTTATGTCCTATTGTGGGAAATATAAGGTTAATATATTCAGCTGTCAGCTTCAAACTCAAACTCATACCTTTTGTCAATTTAAAACTTCAAATGAATCTCATTAATTTACATTTGTTTGTGCTTTGATACAATAAGATAGAGGGGTGTCTGGAGAGAACTCCTGCACACATTGTAACGCCATACCAAACCAGCATGCTAAATATTTTTGTCATTGTGTGGCTTAGATAAGGTATACTGTATATGAAAAACAAAAATAATGTTGGATTCATGTAATGGACCTGGGAATTCAAACTGCCCTTATAGCTAAGAGAGACTACAGGGAGTAACAAGCCCTGCTTCCAACAACACTAACCCAAAATCTGCATACGGAATAAAAAATACTAGTTTGAATTACAACGTTATACTTAATTTTTAAAAAAAAAAAACAACTGTGGAAGGTTTTGTTTCATTAGATTTGTGGTAATTTTGAGCAGCTATGTTTGCTGGTTTAACATGGTCACCATTTGTATGCTCCACTAGTGTTAGGATTAGGGTTAGCACAACTTTAAATTTCTTGTAGCTAACTCTTTAGTTCCTGTGTGGGGCCCAAAGGAATTGCTGGCTCTGCGTGTGAAGAAAACATGTCCTCAAAATGAGTACAAATTAATTTTAAAGGTTAACTAAACTACAGTGAACTGAAAAAAGCAGGGGGCGTTCATCACTACATAAAGGCCCTACGTAAACTGTACTGCTCTGCTAGCATAAAGGCTAATTGTTAATGAGATGAGTAGACAGCATTAATTAGCCCACAATTAGCACTCCCCAGTCTCAGACACACCGCCAGCTGTGATTGTCTCACAGTTTTTCTTTCTTTTTTTTTCTTTGGACCTAAAATTGGCCAGAGGTAGGTTGACAGGCCTCCTCACAGGAACAGATGGCAAATGCAAGGCTTGTTGGCAATCAGCACGTTTTTAGCTAATGACTCAATTAGCTATGCAAATTGACAAATCAGTGTGGATATTGTCATTTAGTTGAAAAGCTCACCTAAATTAATTAGCCTGATTAAGGCATAGTGGGGCGTAGAAGTGGTCGCTCGGGGGGTTGGCTTGAATAAATAAACTGTCTCTCCCCATTGGTGGTCTTCATCAAAGTAAGTGTGTTTTGAGTTTTGTGCTCAGGGGGTTGTTGTTGCTGTTTGTATGTTTACATCTCTGCCTGCTGGATCTGGGGTTGTATATTCCTTCAAGGAGATTTTGTACCCATCCGGGGGTCGAGTGTGTGCCACTGCTTTGAACTATTTGGGGTATTGTGTTAATTAGGGGTTGACAACTAAACACAATAATCACAACAACTATGTAAAAACATATACAGGCTTCACTCTGGTCAACAAATGGATTAACCAGAGCATTTATGCAATGGATAATACACTTCAACAGCTCACCTTGGCCTACAGTGATTCACAGTGACCTTGGATTTGAATGTTTTTGTCACTATATAAACATACGGATGCTACAGACACCAGTCTTCCCATTAAATCGTATCAAGAGCATACTACCACATGTATCTGATACCAGTTTTTTAAAGGTTAGTCCAGATGACTATATGCTGCCAGGACACCTTGGTGTTTCAGTGCAACAGCGCCCTCATAATTAGAGCTACACATGGTTATTGTATATTCCTTGTTTGTACAGTTTCTTGTGTTAGGGCCAGGATTGCCGCAGCATCAAATTCCAAAATGTTTTGAGAGGATGCTTGGCTGAGTTCAGTACCGTCTGCACACCTAGTCTTTGTTAGGGAGCCATTGTACTGTAAACATATCTGGGTTTTTGTGCCACTGTGTCTGAGTGTTGCTGAGGAGATGGGTGAACCGAGCCAGATCTCCTGAGCCGGGCAGCGTTGACACACATGAGCAGTGAAGCATGTGCTCCATTTAACTGCACAGCTTTTTTTTTTGCAGGTTACAGCGGGTGGCGCTGCATGGGCTACACGAGCAGGGAGATGCTCAGACTGTCAAAGGCAGATTACAAAGAGAGAATCAGTGCAAACAGAGAAACAACCCTTGAAAAATGTAGTTGCTACTGAGTTTGGAGTTGTTGTTGTTGTCATAACGTAGCAGTTTCTTCTGTCAAACATCAGAAATCTTTCAAATCATCAAGTCAAAGATAGTGAGGGAGAAGATAGTTTCCTTCCTTGACCTGCTGTGAGAGTACCATCCATGTGAAATATGTCTAACATGATGAGTATTGATTGGGGTTGGTACGGAACACTGGGGGAATCTGCCTTCTTTGCACGGGAAGGTTTCATTTGCACAAAGTGCTTGGAGAGGGGTCGGCTGTACGCATGGATTCACTGGATACACCTAAACACACACACAAACATACTGAAACGCACACGCAGTGCTAATGTTTTCTCACCGTTAGCAGGGGATCTGTGTACATCCAGAGAAAAAATATTCCCAAATCCCTTCGCTGGGATTTTGGGATCTCCTCTTGGAGCTGAGAAAAAAATACAAACACACCCAAAGAGATTTTCATTTGTAAAAAAAAATGATGGCTTGAATCCAATTTTGCAAATCTCAGTTGGAGTTGTAAAATAACACAGATATGCATTAATATCTTATGTTTTACTAATTTTTACATATTGATTTCAAATTTCCCCTGGGCTTTGTCTTAATTAACAAAAAAATGCTCCTGTTAGTCTGCAATAAAACAGATTATATTTGCGTACTCTTAATGTACAAGTCAGGTTTATCAGAGATGTGACCAAATGCAAGCAAACTGTTTCTTAATATCATAATATGTTGGATAAAAGTTTGAATTGAGATGATGAAGAGCAAACGTGCTCCCAACATGTTGCTAAAGTTAGCAAATGCCACAAAATTTCCTAATGTTTGCTAAGTTTTACCAACCTAAGCTTCTTTTTTGCTTCCTTGTTCTTATTATAGTCTTATTATAGTAATAATCATATATATAATCATAGTACAAATCGACAACTTTGCTAAGAAATACCGTAAAGCTAGATCTAAATCACAAGGGCCTTTCATATAATCTTTCTTCACTTCTATTGTTGTTCTCACTGCTTTTCTTTCTGCCTTTCCACTTCCACTAGCTTTTTTAGGTCACATGGTGATTTAGTGAATAAAAAAAATAGCACAGCACAAGAAATACCGACAAAATCAGACAACAGGGGCAATTTGTGGATAAAAATTTAGTTTGTGAACTGAAGTGTTCAAAAAGTGTTCGACAACCGAGCTTCTACTGTATTTCATTGTCAATCAAATTTAGGTAACCAAGAATAAAGTTGTGGACATCTTAAAACCTCTCAGTGCCATGATTGGTTGCCATATTTTGGACATGCCTGATGCACTGTGTCTGCCTCTTTCCCCAGGACGTGATGGTGGTCGGTGAGCCGACCCTGATGGGTGGCGAATTTGGCGACGAGGATGAGCGTCTGATCACTCGCCTGGAGAACACACAGTATGACGCCACCAATGGTCTGGATGACGAGGACGATTTCAACAGCTCCCCAGCTCTGGGCAACAACGCCCCCTGGAGCACCAAACCCCCCACCACCCAGGACAGCAAGCCTGAGAGCACAGCGCCCCAACCCACTCAGTAAAACAGAAGAATAACAGAGCAACAGATGGATTTTTTTTTCTACCATCTCTCTCATTTTGCCCTTGGGGCAGTTCCTCTACATCTCATAACATTTTAGTGGATCCAAAATCCTTTTCTGAATCCTGTCTGTCCTGGATATTTTCTTCTTCTCTAACATCTTGTAGAACACAGAGGACTGGCAGAGTCGCACAGCAGTATCCACGGACATGAGCTGCATACACATTTTATGCAACTGTAATGTAAAAACAGGGAGACGTGGACTCCCCTCTTTTCCTTTTTTTTCTTAAGAAGAATGCAGTGGAAATTTCCAGATCAAATTCACCTCCTTGGACCCTCTCATCTAGTGGAATACCACAGCTGTGATTGGTTGACCCCAAGGTCAACCAAGTCATCATGCTACCAATAGACAGTGAAAGGGAAAGAAGACGAACAAAAACAACAATCAGATGTGTTACAAAAAATTGTGAGCCAAATGTGAAGAAGGTGAGGTGTTTGCAACAGTGTCAAACCAAATTGGCAGCAAAAACAAAATTCTGAAAAAGGTGATACACAATTGTAATAAAACTAAAACATGTGATTTGGTAAATTACAGGTTGACTTTATTGACCAATATAAAAGAAAAACAAAAGTAGGAATCCAGAAGTAAAAGTTAGCAGGTTCATTGGTGACAGGTTTGGTAATGCAGTGTACTCAACCTTTTGACTGAGATTGTACTGCTATTTAGAAACAGTAGTAGCTAACAGTAGTTAGCAAAATATTTAGGGCAGTCACCATTAACAGTTGAAATTATAGTGAAAATAATCAAGGGGTCAAGAAAAATCGTTAAAATATAACTAAATGTGCATGACCTTCATCTTTCTGATTGACCAGTCGACTGCAGTCCATGTCTCGCTTTCATTGACTTCTCAAGCCTAACACAATTTGAGAACTAAACTCAAACACAAATGACCACCAACCATCTTTTTTTGGCAAAAACCCCAGTTATTTTTTTTCTTCGATAAACTGGCCTCTGTTACAATTTTCTGTATGCTGCAGGTTCAGGTTTCTAATGGGGAAACACACATTATTGAAGGCAGAAACACACGAGTATTTTCTTTATCCTTAAAATTTTATTAAAACAAAAAAGTGTGGGATGTACAACATAATTTGGAGGAAATTGCATATAAATTGGAAATTAGACAATAGGGGTCAACGACTAATTTCATGCAGACATGTTTGTGTTCATAGTCTTTTTGCTTTGATAAGAATCTAGTGCAATCACATTGCAATTTTCATTAAGTATGTGAATTTTGCCAACAGGAATTGATGCATCAGACCCTTCCTTCTCTTCCCTTTTACAATTGGTCTTCTTTCCCTTTATCCACCTATTCCCAAACAGACACTAGCGCCTTTTTCCTGCATGATTTTATAGGATTTTTATTTTGGTAAATATTCATGTACTTTTTAAAAATGCATCAGTCTGATTTTGTCTTTTGGGGTTTATCAGTTTAGGAACACTGTTACTGGATTTGTAGCTCTGTAAATAGAGGTGGAATCTATTTTGTTCACTGTAAAATCAGCCACTGAAAGCAGTTTGGATACGGCAGCTGTTTTTGTTTTTGTACAGGAAGGTCAGATTTCTGTTGGGTGGTTTGGATGGATGCTGGTTCCCCGTCCTTTCAAGCCTAGCGCTGAACCAAAGCCAAATTTTTAATAAGGAACCACAGTCCTGCATTCACATTTCTTGTATATTCTGTGACATAAAAAAAAAATTACATTAAATAAAAACAACGCACAGATAAAATCCCATCCACCCCACAGAAATGTTTTGAGATCCTTGTGTTTGTGTTCTCTAATTGAATTGATCCTATATCCCTGATCTCTTTTGTTGCAACTTTTGTTTTAAAAGTGGGCGTGGAGACGACAATGAATTGTCTTTATACAATTGGATCTTCTGGGTATTTATTTGTGCATTTGTAAGGAAGCTAACACATTTCTAAATATGTTTGAGGCTAGTATTATTAGACACCCTTTGTACATTATATAGCAGAGGTGTTCAGTGTCATATCTGATGTCTGGTATGTATGCTTTACCATTATGTGTGCCAATAAACCGTGCTTACAAAAGAGCTGGATTTAAGTTTGGTTGCATCCAGTTTATAGAATGGCAACTGTTATTCTTATTGTTACTCGGATACTTATTGCTGGGCTGCATAGGATTTGAGTTGATCATGTTTTTACACATTTTACTACACAAGAATCTTGTAAACTGCAATCTGAAATTGTTTTGGATAAAATACAAACTAACTAAATTATGGGATTACTGAACATATTGATCAGATAGAAAACTGTCCACTCCATCATTGTAAGTCCTCATCATATGATTTGACAGAATCAAGTGTTTGGTTAACTCCAATGGTTTTTGAAGGTGAGGGGTCAAAGGATGATAGTAGCTGAACAAAGAGTTACTGGGGGACAAGACAAGGCTATAAAAGAAAGGGATTGTTTTCATTGTGGAATCACCGTCATCTGTTTGAAATGTTATGTTTACTGAAAGAAAATACAATCTTTAGTACATTGCCCTATACCCTTTAGCTTCATGACCAAAGCATCACATTGAAGATGTTGCAGCTACAGTCTTGACTTTCTTTTCTCCTGACTATGTCTCCAGGAATACTTGAGCATGGGTGTGCACAAAGACACAGCCCAAGGCCTGCAGTATTCAGACCTTGACGTAACACCAGAGCTTGGAAACTTAGAAATCTTTTGAGATGATATCAGTAAGACTTATTATTTATCCTTAAAACCCAAAGAAGATGAAAAAAAAAGAAATTATTTGTAAGCTTTGATCCATTGTTGCTTTGATCCTTTGCAGAGTGTATGAAGATCATTCACTTTGCCCTGGGGCAGAGACGCACAACAGCAGAAGAAAAAAGAAACACCTGACCAGTCTTTTGGTCTATGGTGTACTAAGCAAAACCACTGTCGTCACCAACATTCCCTTCACAATAATGTCTCTCTCCTGACATATTTTGGCCCGTTTTCATCCCAATGATAAGTTGAGAAAACGTCTGAAATATGACAAGTAAGTATAAACTCTGTTTCCTTTACAGCAATGCAATCCAGGTAACAATATCTAGGAAGGACCTCACTGCTGTTGTTGGGTAGAATGTATCTCCAGTGCGGAAGGATGGAATTTTGGCGACACCAAGTGGATGATTTGATACTGCAAAAACATCTAAAGATGTAAGGTAGTAAAGGTGGAACTGTTCTCAAATCAATTTAGTGTTTAAGTGAGAAGGAAACTAGTGAATTATGGTTTTTATCCATTGTTTTTACTTAGTCCATGGTTTTCAAAAAAGAAATATGTCTAAAATAATTAGTCGCCAAATTTTACTTATTCAAGTGAAACAACAGCTTTAACTTTACCAGCTTAAACAAACAACAAAAATAAATAACCGATTTTTGAGAGCCAAAATTTGCATTTTTAATAATACTAAATAATAATGATGTTAACTTTGTGCTGAGCTTTGAGAGTAGTGTGGCCCATCGATGTGTGTTGTGGTGAACAGGTATTAATGTTAGTAAGAAAAGGCAGAGCAAAAAATAAAATAGATAAAACAAAAACGAATTATGTTGTAGTCGTGTACAGTGCTGCACGCTTTGAACTGAACTTGAAAACTCTGAAATTAACTTTACATTCTGACTACTAACATCCTACCTAAACCCCACCACCATTGATGGCGTCAAAGAATGCAACCATTTACTGCTGTTTCTAAATTTAAGGACGTAAAACATCGCTTCCTTAAAGTGGTCAAAGTGCGTCATTTCTATGTATCGACAGTGCCATCGCAAAGACAACATATCCCAGTATGCACCGCTCACTCGCAACGGATTCTGTCCGTAATTTTTGGTCCTCTGCAGCCGCCGTAGAACACGTCCTCTGGGGCTACAGGTTTACAGAGTTAGTGCACCGCGGTTGCGACCATAGTAAAGATGGCGGAATCTTTGGGTTCAGAATTGTCAGACGAAAAAGAAGCAGAAATTGAGCTTAAGAAACGACAGAAACGACCGTGGGATGACTTGCACAAATCGAGCAAGCTTGGTTTAAGTCCCCCACTACCAGAAACGCTGGGAGTTTACGACATTAGTGTTGTCAGGAGGAGAACGCAACGGGAGTTGATATCAGGTAAAGGACTGCTGACGACTCTGTCCCCATAGCTAATTTCTGATAAAGCTTTTTAAATTTCCTACCCAAACCGAATTAGATGATATTGAAAAGACCTATCGTTCGTCGTTTTGTGTTAGATGTAACATTAACACTCTTTAATTTGAAAACCCTACATCGAGAAATGTGGTGAGTTGTCAACATAGGTTGTTTACACTCAGTGCTAACCCAGTGAAGCCTCAGTCAATAATAACCGCAGTTATTAATTATTAGGACTTTATATTAGGCTGCTAAAACCATAAAAAACATTTTGTTATACTATTGGTATTACTCTAGATAAAAAAAACGTGTTACAAATTTTAATGTGTAAAAGAACGTTATACTGTTAAATATTAAAAAGAAAAGATGCATTTTATCATAATTTTTATAAGGCAAATTGACACTGTCATTCTTTTACATCCCTAGCCACCATTTAATGATGAAGTGCTTCACTTTTCAAGTAAACATTTAAACCTTTGTTTGTTGTTAGTTTTTGACTGTAACTCTATTTAGGGTCACCTCCTTTAACCTGTATTCCTGCAACATGTAATAGTTAACCTTAATATAAAGTAACTTGCCTAACTGTACAGACGTGGGTGTTCTTTTGTTTTGTGGAACCCTAAAAAGTCATTCTAAACTTATTTTTGTAATTGTTTCCATATATTTATTTATTGTTGAGTCTGACTTTAGACTTGCCATTACTGTAGGCCAATTGTGGTTTGTACTTTTAGCTGTTTTTTGTAATCCTATCTTTTACAAATTTTAGCTTGCTTTCTTAACTTCTCCGTTGCCATTATTATTATTGTTGGGGTTTTATTTAAACATTTTTCCACCTTCTAGAAACATGTATGTACATTTTCTTAAATTTAGCCGCATTTTCATCTTTGGACAAATTCTTAGCTTTTATTCTTAATATATCATACTCATGACGTATATCTACATATACCATATGTATTTGTAAAGAACCATTCTCTAATTTAAACAGAAAACCTGCCGGACTCACTAAATTATTCACTTAAACTGCAACGCCTCAGTGTTCTTCACCTCTATGCATATGCAAATTTGCTGCAGTACAATGTATTAAACAATATATAATAGAATAGTCTTTATTATTTTTATTGTACAGCGAAGGTACAGCAAATTATACTGTCAGCTTGTCCTTGTTTGAATTTATGATATCACTCTTGATACATTTTTGACAAGTTCCCACAGGTTGAAGTCAAGCAGAAAGAATTTAAACACAGCAAGGGGTTATTTGGGGTAAAAGCACAGGGAGAGTATTCAGATATAATAGTCGTCATTTTTGTCTATATGTTTTGATTATTTTAATTATTTCTTTGAAATTATGCATGTCTAAATAATTATTAATATTTACTAGAAAATTTATTTTTCATGATAATAACAGGCTTGTTGAACTAAAAAAAACTTAATATAAAATACTTTCCTCTCAAGGTTCACATGTTCAAACTCAATAACAAAAACTGGAAAGGCTTAATTTTTTCCCATTGTTCTTAAAACTGTGGACCTCTGCAGTGAGTAGCCTGTCGTTCCAAAGCCTGACAGGGTCATTATGTTAATAGCTGTGGTTGTTGTCACACAGCTGTGTGACATGACCTTGTACTAACAACTGCTGGTACTCGTGTGTACACATGCATGCGTATTCCAAAAGAACTGGAAAAGGTAGCATGACCTGATCTCTGATCCACGTTTACCTCATTTGTTTCCCTAAAGCTCACTAGAGATGTTTACAGACCACAGGCATACTGCTCTGTGAAGGCTTGTTCTTACATGATCTGCATTAGTGTTGGTCTGTTAATTAGTGAATATGTCTACTGTATAAATGAAAAGACGTGTCCCTTTATCTGGGGTTCCCTCTGTTGTTGTACAGTAGTCTGGCTGAAAACCAACATAGGATTTGAGGATTTGGTATCGAACCCACAAGGCTTCTGCTGGAGTCACTACATCTGTGAATATGTTGTTGTTACTGATTTCTGTTAATTTATTGAGTCGTATAAGTAAGATTTCTACAAGAGAAAGTCTTCTTGTTTATGTGATTTTTATCCCTTATATTTTGGTGATAACTATTTATGAAAATCAGGGAAATGTTACACAGCAGATGTTATGTAAATTGTGTCACAGTAATTTAACATGAATAGATAAAAACAACCACACAAAATAATCTTAGCGCGATATATTATAGCTTTGCTGTAGGTATGAATGTTTGAGTATCATTTACATTTCTCTATTCCATATTATAACTTTATAATCTAAACTCTATTCCATATTATAACTTTATAATCTGTTAAACTATCATTATGTTTTATACATGTACATATACAAATATAATATGAATATTATATATCCTACATATATGAACAAAATGTTCAAATGCTTGAACATAAATACAGTTTACACAGATTGTTCTACAGAAATCGGTTTTAAATAACTTCTGTTGTTCCTTTCTTAAGTCGGTAGGTGGGAGTGTTGACTCATAACATTAACATGGATTAATCAGAGCTGCTTGCATTGACTACACACACCTCATTAGATACTTTATCTAATGATGAATATCAACATTCTTTTGCAGCTCCAGTCTTGTCATACTTCACTTCTCATATCAGACCAAGATAATGGCAGATATGCTGAAATAAATTTAGTAAAAACCAAGGATTTCAAAGGGTTTAACTTTTACCCATATCAAAAGGTAGCTGTGGATTAATCCTGATTGATAAAACATATTTTTCTGTATTTTGCTGGAACACAAAAAGACACATAACAGCCAGTAGATGTATGTGTTTCACACCGGAATTCTCAATATGAAAAATGTCAAGACAAAAAGGCAAAAGTAAAACTTGAAATCTTGCAATATTTTTTGTGTTTTTAGTTCATTATTGTTCATCTTGACAGTGGCTTGAAGAGTGGTTCAAGATTTGTTTTTAAAACTCTCTTTTAAAACTAAAACTGTCCCCAACAATCTTAATGAGTCTATAGTCTCCTCACAATCTATTTGGTTAGTGGCTCGTGTGATTTGTCTGACATGGAGCTGCAGTCTCCACAAACACATGTTGGCCGTTTGGATGGTATTTCAAGGTCGATCGGCTTCATTACCACAAAAACAAAAAGCAGAGTGTATAAATGATAACACAAGTATCTTGCAGATGGTGTTTACAGGACATCTTTGACACTGACTGTCGCACTAACAGCGATTGTTTGACTTTCCCCAGCTGATGATCTTCGGCTTCTTCCTGTGTGTGGATGCCTTCCTCTATGTCTTCACTCTGCTTCCTCTCAGGGTTCTGCTGGCCCTGCTGCGCCTCCTCACACTGCCATGCTGTGGCTTCAGGTCAGGGGTCTTCTCACACTATATAACATCATTACATCCCACTGAGAGAGGTTATAAAATCTGTAAAATCCAAAGCCGGTTACCAATGTTAAACACAGTCAGCTGGAGATGTTGGTGTGTTTTATCTATATAGGAAATATAACTTGTATAAGTGGTTATACAGATTGCCTTAACTCAAGTTAAAATTAAGATTAGTCAAAGACTAAAAGTTTTGTTTGTAAAAGGCCAGATTAGATTATGATTTTCTTTCCAAAACCGAACTTTTATAGTACCTGTGTTACATGTACAGCACACACAACTTCTTCTCTTTCAGTTCTCTGAGCCTTGCTGTTATCCATATTGTTTTACAAATGCATATAAACAGCACTCTGGGGATTTGTATTTCCTGTGGTTTAAATGATGTATTTTTAAAAATCCTTTGAATTTAACAATGCGGTGAGGCTTTATTTCCTTGATATACTGTGACAGTGTGATTAATATTTACACAACCTACCAAAATACATTTAGCCATCTGACCCCATGTGTCTGATTGTGCCCTTGCTTTCCTCCCCCCTGCAGGGCACGAACATGCCCATACTGCAGAAGGAGCAGGTACTCTTCCACCAGTCTCTCACGGACTCATACAAACCACAACTACCATTATCCTGAATCTGCCTCCGCATTATTGTCACTGTTCTCCCTTCGTCTCCATTTGTGTCTGTTCATACACAGTTCTGCACTGAATACCCTGTCCCATTTTCTAAGGCAGAGCAGCCATGTTGGTTCATCATCAAGTTCTCACTTTTGTTTTTTCCCCCACAAAATATGGGAAGGTTTGCAAAAAGTGCATGAACATTGTTCTCACTGTGTTGCTCATCTGTGGAACAGCTGCAAATGGAGTTTCCACTGCTGGTAGTTTCCAAAAAGGTTCTAGAGCAGGTTGTGTTTCATTTGTGATTTTTTTTTTTCTAAAGCGGAACTTTTGAATTTTAAAAAGAAAGAACGTTTTAATCTCCAGCTGCTCCACAGAAGCAAATTGGTCTCTTTCCGCTGGGCACTCTAACAAGGTTTGGTGTCAGTAGTGAAGCTTTTCTTTTTCTGGCTTAGAATTTTAATCCCACGTTTCAGGCTTATAGACTGTGAATGGCACATAGTCATGGCTACTTGAAATGCAGCACGTACTGAAGTGAACTGTTCAAGTTGAGAGCTTGTAGAGAAGATGATGACTGGTTTTTGTGGGCTTCACCACCAACTGGCTGCTTTAGCTTTACATCCAGATGGACCTGGTGTCTGGGATTAGATGAAGGCTGAGGAGGTTACTGCATGTTGAAACAGGAACTTCTGATTAATCATGACTCGCTTTCAAGTAGACCTTTTTCACTTTACACAATATTATATTTTATGATATTTTTCCATTTTAAAACATATTTTAATGATCATATATGAGTTGTGAGTTTGCAGTGATGTACTATATTCAGTTTTATTGTCAAATTTTACATTGAAAAGCAGATTATTTTTTTTATATAGATGTTTTCAATTATTATTTTGTTATGGCAAACCAATGCATTTCCTACACGTAAATCGATTTGCTTGTAATTTTGTCCCCGTACTTTCACCATCTGACCGTTAGATGGAGCCAGAGTCACGGGAATAAATCATCAATTTCTGGGTTCACATATCATTGGAAATACTGCTTTACACTGTTTTTAAATCTGTATGAGTTACTACAGTGTGTATAGTAATGAAAGGGAGGGGGGGCGAGTTGAGTTGTTTTTTCAATAACTCAAACACAGTATGTGTGACATGACTGCTAGTCTGTTGCATGTAACATGGCTTTGGTTTCGAAAGAAATCATTGTCCTTTGTTTTCTATGCACAAAAGGCACAGATGTTGCTCTCACACTGTTTTCACAGCTCTGTGCTCAGCTGCACACTTATACCCACACTGTGTGAGATGGGATCAAGCTCATTTACACTTTTTTTATTATTATTACTTGTGCTTTTCTTGACCACTCCGTTTGGAGTTGGTTCCTAAAATACCTCAATCACATAAACATAACATCAATAATAATCAACAAAATCTATAAGAATAAATGAAGGGTGAGGTTTATGAAAATGAATTCCTCAGATTTGTGAACTACTTACATTGCTGATTTGGGACGATTTTTCTTTTTCTAGTGTTGATGCAGTTACAATTTGTGTGCTTGTAAAGTGAGTGCTACTTTGTTATATATTTTAGTCATTTTTAGTCTCTGTGGGGAGCAGATGAACAGATGCTTGTGCTTGTGTATGGACACATTGACATGAGAAATATGCAGGACGTAACTCTGTTAATCTCCCACCAGCTCTTCCCAGTTATCCCTGTCATAGAATTTAAGTAACCGCTCCTATGGATTTGTCATCTTTCCTCTTAACAAGTTCTCAAACTGCCCCTGCCTTTAATTAAGTAAAGCTGGAATTTGAGGAAATATATGTTATATATGCTCCTATGTATTTTGTTACTTGATATTAGGTTTTGTATTATGGAGACTGCATGATAAGAACTGAAGAAAAAAAACCCACAATCTTAAAACAGCAGCAGTGTTAAAATTTGAAAACAGAAACATATTAAAAGGAGGTGAACTGCAAGGATGAGATTACCTTAGAAATGAATGAGATGTTGGCTTCGATATTTCTTCATGTTTTGTTTTTATTCAATCAATCCATAATAACACAACTGTGTTAATCTCAATTCTTGTCATGCCATTTTATTCAGGAATAAATAATTTGATCATGGATGCTGCCTTTATGGCTGTTTCTCTTGGTAGGGATAAAAAGTGTAATTCAAAACCCAGCACAGCATAAAATAGTAGCTGCCAGATAAAGGGACTAATCTTAGTTCCTTTGTCTTGTTTAAAACCTTACCAAATATAACTTTTATTTAACTGTGTAAAAGATGAAATTATGTAACAAATACCAAATAGAAAATATCTCCTTTTCATTATTCTGCCAATGTCATTGTTAGTGTCATTGGGTGTTAATCATTATAGATGTTGTCATCTTGCAGCGTAAGTTGGCGTTATAGTGTCCTACCAGCAGGGTGCAGGAATGACTCGGACATGTCTACAGTCATAATCAGAATCCGGCTCAGCAGTGGAGTTGCGGAGTGACAGAGCACAGGGGCTGCCAAACCACAGAATGTCAGGAAGGCTCTGTTGTAATATGTACTTGTGTTATTTCTCCTTTGGTGGTCTTATATTAATGGCAATAAAACCAAGAGCTTTTCCTGGTCAAGCCTGTGTCACCAGTGATGAGATGATGTCCACAGAGACAGACTAGGAAGGAGTCAGTTGCTGTGTGTTATGGAAGCAACACAATGTCAATGGAAGTCTATGGCAAAGTGAAGCTACTTCTCACTATGTTAAAAGACAGCTGGGTCAACCAATAAGAGATGGATCACAAGTGATGAGTGTTTTGTTGTTGTCAAGTAATAATAATAGAATTATTATTTTTCATCTTGTTGATTGACATTTAAACTGGAACATTTTACCTTTCTCCATGGCAACAAAACAACATGCTTTTTTATTGCATGCATATTACATTCAGACATATTGCACTGTGTATTGCAGCATGTGAGCCAAGTATGCAAATGAAAACGTAAACCAGTAAAAATCTGCCATACAATAATAACAACAATTCCATTTTCAGTGGGTCCCGTCTGCTGCAGCCAGCACAGGTGTGTGATGTTCTGAAGGCTCTGATCCTGGTGCTGTGTTTCTCCATGATGCATTACGTGGATTATTCCATGATGTACCATTTGATCAGAGGACAGTCGGTGATCAAACTCTACATCATCTACAACATGTTGGAGGTACATATTCACACACCCCTCATCTGAAAATGAGGTGTTAGACATACTGTTTGAATTAAGAATGTTGTTGTTTTCCTGCAGGTGGCGGATCGTCTCTTTTCTTCCTTTGGTCAGGACATCTTGGATGCTCTGTACTGGACCGCTACAGAACCAAAAGAACGGAAGAGAGACAGTATAGGAGTCATACCTCACTTCCTCATGGCAGTCTTTTATGTCTGTATCCTCTCAGCTCAAATCAATAACACAGTTGTTGCAGGCCTTGAAGTTTTGTCTAAATGTTTCTGTTATAACCCTGATAAATACTGCCTTTCACAGTAAATCACTCATAACTTGGCCAACAGGCACCAGAATCCGCTTTCTGTAATTTTCTCTGCATTTGACAGAAACAACAGTACTGAAGGCCAGAAATCGATCTTTCTCTTGTCTGCTGAGAAAATAATGGGAGCTCAGTGTCTTGGTCATGTGCTTTCAAATTTATTAAACACTTATCAGTTTTTTCTACACATGATTTTTTTCTGTCTTTGATTTTTTTTTGCATTTAACAGTAATCCTTAATAACTGAAATGTCATCACACACACTGCTGTTAGTTTAGCTGGATTGCTCATGAAGTAATACTAGAGTGTTGTTCAGTGATGATTTCCTTATCAGTCGTTCCTCAGTCCTTCATGCCATCCTCATCATGGTCCAGGCCTCCACCCTCAACGTTGCCTTCAACTCTCACAACAAGTCCCTTCTCACCATCATGATGTCCAACAATGTCAGTGTATAAACACAAGCACACACTTTACTCACTACATCTGCAGTTAACACATACAGGAGCAGGTGCATGTCTGACAGATTTGTAAACAATAAGCTGTTGATTTATATAACAAATTCTCACATCTTTAGTATTTCTTTCCAACATTTTTCTGTATATTTTCTGTATGCTAAATGTGTATTTGTCTATTCCTTCAGTTTGTGGAGATCAGGGGAAGCGTGTTCAAAAAATTTGAGAAGCACAACCTTTTTCAAATGTCTAACAGTGGTAAGTTACTCAGTGTCTTTTTAAAAACTTAATTAGGTTTTACTCTTTTGTTTTAAACGCTTCTTACTGACTTGTGACAGAGATAATGCAGTGAGTCCATGGTTACAGAAAAATTATAATTAGTTCTATCCTTAAAATGAGTTCCCAATGCAATACTTCTAATTTGCGCTGTCTCATATGGGTACTTGCAACACCATGTACAACTACACACAACACACATTTATTTTATCTGCAGCAAAATAATTATTACATTAATCAGTAGGATTGAAACTGTAGCACATGGTGCAACAGCTGCACAACATCACCTTAGATAAACGTTAGAGAGAAGAATGACTAGACTATTGCCAAAAAAAAAACAGGATTTATATCTAATGACTAGACTATTGCCAAAAAAAAAAACAGGATTTATATCTCAAAGTTTTTGAATTTTGAGATTTGTTTTCTACATTAAATACAATACTAATAAAGTCAATTTCATTATTTTTTGTTTATATGTGTGCTGGTTTAAAACTTAGATCAGCTCTAACCACTATCCAATAGTATTATCAGTGCAGATCCATGCAGTTCAGTCTTGTGCAGTTTGAAGTATATTTCCTGTAGCCATTTAAAATATGCAGCAGTGACTCATCTTTACTCTGAAACTCAGAATTAGGTAACTAAGGAACTTGTTTAGGTTGCTTGGAACTTTTCACCTTTCATCCAAGAATTTCTGACTAAGTGGAGAAATACTCCTGGTATTAAGTCAGGGCTGAATGTTTGAAAAGAGAGTCATGTCCACACCCTGGCCCATTTACAGGATGCTCTTTTCAGCTGGGTCATGGTGTGAATGAGGGGTGATGAGAGGAGGGATGATGCCCATGACGTTGTTTGTAGTGTATGTGAGCTGAGTTTTCTGGGAAGAGAGTTGACCCAGCAGTTACATCAAGGATTGTGTTTTACATGTATTATCTGAGAGTAGCTTCAGTGCGTGAATAAAAAAAAAAACAACAAAGAATAGGAAAGAGAATGTAAGCTATGTGTGTGAGTATTTCAAGATTTCTTTAGTTTTAAGAGAAAAATTTGTTATAAATATTTAAATCTTTAATTCATTTTATAGCAGTCTTCACTTTTTTCTGACATTACAGTGCCCTGTAAGTAAAAATTGGAAAATACACTAAAATCTCATGTTATGAAGACATGTTTATTTAATATTGCTCATAAGTAATGACTCTCTCTGTAAAATATAAAAGTTTCTCAAGGACAAATGTTGAATTTACAAACTTAAGATTTTAAATATCTGCTGAATCACCCTGTGTATTGTGATAATATAGGTTTTAGTGTAACTGTATTCAGTGTATGTAATAGTGTTTTGAAAACATTTTCTTCAGATTACCCAGCAGAGTTTTATGTTGCAATGTTTGTTTTTTTGTTTATTTTTTTTCCTGCAGACATCAAGGAGAGGTTCACCAGTTATGTTCTACTGCTCATCGTCTGTCTCAGGAATATGGAACAGTTTTCATGGAACCCAGGTGTTTAGATGCTGACTGCACTGTTAACATGGAGAACAACTATAAAGCCATCTCATATATTTCCATATCGATTTTAGTATTAATGCTAGTTTAAGAAATGAACAAGTTCAGGATGGAGTTTAATCAAACGACATGATGACATGAGCTGAGATGTACTGCAAAACAGATGAGACTTTAAGACAGACACCTTCTGTCAGCTGAAATCACAGCTCTGATTCTCAAACATAAGCAGAGCTTCAGCTCTGCTGCTAACGAGGGATGGAGATCACGAGTGCTTGATCATTTATTTATGTACTGTTTTTGAAAACTCATTCTCTCTGCTTAAATAATGCAGTCGAAACATAGAATCTGTTCTTGGCAAACAAACACCTTATTTAATTCAAGGCACTTTTGTGTGGATTCCCAATAAGCTGCTACTTTTACGTAATTTCATTACTTCTTAGAAACTCTAAAACATAATTCTCTGAAGTAGCTGCTCAGACAAAGCCAGGTGTGGACTACTTTGCCCAGCAGTTTCATTGTGAAGCAGTGAACAGCTGAATAATTGTGAGGTTTTGGATCAATGTCATCATAACCAATTTTCCTTTCTTCCTGTAGATCACCTGTGGGTGTTGTTACCTGATGTCTTCATGGTCGTTGTCTCCGAGGTTGGCGTTGACATAATCAAACATGCTTTCATCACAAAGTTCAATGACATAACAGCAGATGTAAGGAGTAAATCCAACGTATCTTTATCACTTCTGATTAAACTAAATTAATCACATGCTCTTCCATAATAATATTGGTGAGGTTTTTTTTTTCTCTGCCTCTAGGTGTACAGTGAATACAGAGCCAGTTTGGCCTTCGATCTCGTCAGCAGTCGACAGAAAAATGTAAGCTAATGCCTCCTTTGCATAGTGTATCTCCGTCATCGGTGCTCGGCCTACGCTTCTAATCAATGGCATTTTGTGGAGTGCTGTAATCTGTGCTCCTTTGTCCCTGTGTAGGCTTACACTGACTACAGTGACTCAGTTGCGCGGAGGATGGGTTTCATCCCTCTGCCTTTGGCTGTTCTGGTAAGAATAGATGCAATCTGTTGTTTTTCAAATCCAAACACCAAGAAGAAGTAGTCGCTGACACACAAACAATAGAATAACATCTTAGAGGTTTCGAATGAGATTGTAATATGTTATTGTAAATAATAATTATTTTATTTTATTGCAACACCTCAACAGCTTATCCGAGTGGTGATGACTTCAGTGAAGGTGCAGGGGGCGCTGTCTTACACGTGTGTGTTCCTCTTTTATCTTGGGTATGTAGGTTTATGTTTTTATTCTACATCTTGAACTTTGGAATACGTATTTGGAATGGTCTGCATGGAGATAAGAAATATTTGACATGTTGAAAAAAAGAGAGTTAATTTACACTTCCGCTGATTGTATAGATGAAGAAAATATTTGTGAAGTCAGTTATTTTCCTTCATGAAGCTAAAGCCCATTAACATCTTGTTTGCAACCCACAACCATCTGATCTAGGAATAAATTCTAAACAATCACATTCTCACCAATAGAAAAATAATTTAGGTCCAGATATCAACCTGTTTTCTTGAACATGAGAATGAGAATGAGCGTTTTCATCCATGCCCACTGAATGTACTGTGAGACTCTATCTTACTTTGCAAGTCAGTATTACACTTACATTTGACATGTGGTGGCATTTCTTACTTATTTAATTTAGCTATAACTGTCTTCAAGATGAGAAGGCAAATCTAAAATGTATTTTGTTCAACTTGTGCATTACTGTGTTGAGTTCCACTGAGCTAATGTCATATCTGAATTTCTATAATTTATTGAGTCACGAACTAGAGAATATTTAACTTTTTTAATTTGCATCGAGAAGGAGAGGAAATGTTCAGCACACAGACATGTTGTCAAAATCTCTCGGCTGCGCAGTAACATCACCAGAGACGTGTCGTGAACACATATTTATATTCATAGATATTCGCTGTTACATAAGCATTAACACTGTGGCCTTCCTCACTCCTGCAGTGAGCTGCTGATAGCCCCACACTCTCTCATTTGCCCAATCCCATTAGCCACATACAACTGAAGAGTTTCCCTCAGGATGGAGAAGACAGTGTTGTAGTGCCACCTCTGGACTTTCCCATCCCCCCACCTTATAAATAGAACTGACTCGACCAGATTGCTGTGCGAAGATTTTAGCTGTGGTGACACTTGCTTTCACTACCAAACATCCTCGCAGTAAGAGCAGTGGCCTCGATACCCAGATCTGTCCATCTCACTTTCATCGCAGTGTCAAGCTCTGAGTCATGATGTAAAACATAGAAGTTCAGTGAACAACAACATCCTGTCATTGTTTTCATAGGGCAGTATAAAAATACCTTTGACCTGACCACAGGTAAATGTGATTCTAGTTTGTTAATTTAATTCAGCCTTCCATTATATGTAATTCACCTGGTTAAAAACATTTGTGTATACCAGTGGTTCATTTTCATGGTCCCTACACCTGGAAGATAAATTACAATGTTTCCAGTCAGGGAAAGGAAATGGAAGATGAGATAAAAAGTCAAAAGGTCCAGGATATGCTTTAGTCATTCTGAAAAAGTATTTATCTTCCCTGCTTTACCCTGCATTTTGAGTAAATACATACCTGTATTTGATTATAGGTGTGCGCATGCAGGTCTGCTGTTGAGCTGTGTTCACTGAGCAATAAAGACAAGGAAATGTTGGTATTCTGTATGTGATACCTTGTCTTTCATGCATTTACTTACTTATTTATTTAAAATAATTTGAGTAAAAATTTTTTATTCAGTGAAGTACAAGGTCACTACCCTGCGTTTCAATTCTCATGTTATGATTACATGTACATAGGTTTAACAGCCAAGTCAAATGATATGAGCTGTTATGTAAAAATAAAAGGGCTTCAGCTTCAGTCTGTCATCAGGCTGCTGTGTGCTTCTTTAGTGACAGTCGTCAGGGCTCCTGTCTACTTGGCATATACAGAGATGTTAAAGTGTCTTTTTCTTTACCGCTACATCATAAGAAATGACTGTGTTAGGCCATTACAAACAGAGCATCATTACTGAAGAGATATTTTTAATGTTCTTAAGTCAGAAATGATAGAGAGTCAAAGTACTGAGTTAAATCCCTTTCCCTTCACAACCCCTGAAGATGCACTAATGTGCAGTGTGATTCTGTGCATATTGAAACACCAGCAGCCCAACAGCTACGTGTCTCTCAAATCACTGCTGACTCTGTGTCATCTTTAATTTAACACACCATTTATTTGTGTTCAAGGCACATGATGTGAGACTTGGCCACATGCCTCATCACTATCACCAACTTTAACTGTTTGTTCTGAATCACAAATAACTTGCACCAAACTCTGGTTCTGAAGATGAAGCTTTTTTTAGCTCAACTCATTTTCTCATTTGTTTGTTTTTGTTTCTCATTTGTCTTATTTTCCTGCATCACACATTACAAATTAACAACTCTTCAATATTAATGTTCTAACCTAGTATGTCAAAGATTATTGTCTGACGTAATTAATGGTACAGCAAAGGACAAACAGATTTCAGCCTAAAACCATTTTTGCCTTTAGTAAGCAAGATACACTGTTCACCAGCATGGACAAAACAACCTGAAGAATAAAAAACCTCAAATGCATGGCAAGAATGCAGTACATAACTATTTACCATTGAGTTAGTGGTTCTTAATTATGTCACTTTCTGAGCTCAGTTTTCTCACTCCACAGGCTGGTTACACTGAAGGTGTTGAACAGTATTGTGCTACTTGGAAAGTCGTGTGTTTACGTGAAGAGGGCAAAGATGGAGGACAAACTGTTTGAGAGGCACACCGCCACATCAACGTCTTCTGCAAAAACTCCCAGCAAAACTGATCTCACCAGGCGTTCCACCCTTCCAGGTAAAACAGACATTTTTAATAGCTGTAGTTTCTACTTCATACAGGAGCTTGTTTATAAATATTTTATTAAATATTTTTTCATTTAGGCGTGAATTTCTATAACCTATTAAATGTCTATTTAATGACCTCTGTTCCTGAAATCAAAATTTTGTGAAGGAATTATTATTTTTCAGTATTTCAGGGTGTGGGGAGCAAAATGTTGACCTTGGTATTTAGATGTTCCCAGCAAGGTACCAAATATGTTCAGTCATCCTGTTTTAGTAGTGTTCTGTCCTTCTCACTGATCATAACATTATGTTAGTTTAGTTTCAATAGTTATACACTATTAAAAATGCATTACAAAAGTTAATTTATTAAAATCTGTGTTTGAAATATAATGGAATTATTTTAGATGTAATCAGTCACAGGGTTGATTCCACACATGATTAGATAAAAGATTAACATAAAGATGAACCATTCAGTAGTGTGATTTAAAGAACAGTTATACTGTTTTTTTTTTTCAGAGGCTGAAAAATAACAGACGATGCATAATAAAATGTTTCTAAAGAGATATTCAACTCAGCTAATTCATTTTGCATGGTGTCATTTGCCAGCCTAACTCTATATATACCCTTGTTATCCTACAGGTATGTCATCAGTGGAACACATTCCATCCACATCCCACAGTGAACCATCGTCCTCCAGCTCCATCCCTACCTCTGTCACTACACAGCCCACAGCCAGGACTGACTTGTTTCCTCCACTGCTTATTAATGCTGCTACTGCTGCACCACCAGAGAGTCATTCTACATCTTCTCCACCCTCAGCTGAAGCAGAACAACAGGCAGCTTCACTTTCAAAAAAGAAGGAGGAAGAAGAGAAGGAGGAGCAGGAGAGGGATGTGGAGGAAGGCAGTGAGTCAAAGCCCAAGACTGAAAACAAGGACCTGCTGGAAATTGACAGATTCACAATCTGTGGGAATCGCATCGACTGAGCAGCAGCAGCAGCAATGGCTTAGAATTGAACTTTGTACAAATTATTTACCTTCTCAGGAAAAACATGCAGCAAAGGCCTCTCAGCCCAGCACTCCTGGGGGAAAAACAGCAGTAAGCTGAGTATTTATTAAAGTCGGAGGCAGAACATTAACTAAATGTGAAGACAGTCTGAGACAGTCCTGCTGCTGTTGGAGCTTGAAGTTTGACACAGAAAAAAAAACTCCAGCACGATCTAACAGCAGGAGGGTGATGATGTGAGGGTCGTTAGGTTAAACCAGTGTGAGTGTGTAAGCGAGTGTGTGTGTAGGTGTGAGGATGGTTCATTATTTAGTGTGTGTGTTATTCAGCGTACGTGTGAGCACGTGAGCACTTCCTCTGTAAGCAGCACTGGGAGCAGAAGAAAAGAAGTTCCTCAGTTTGCTTAGGAAAAACAACAGAATCATTTCCAAGTTAATTCTGGAGTCAGGTGTACATGTAAGTGTTTCTTAGTTTGTGTTTATTTAATTATGAGCTTTAAGTTTGTTTCATACGTCAGAGTATTACAGAAAAGTTGAAAAACTGAGAGACCAAGCTGTTGCTCACTGTTTAAGACTTGTCAGATGCTACTTCAAAAAGGCGCTTGAAAGCAGTGGTTCCCAAGGGTCGTGTCCCTCAAAAGTGGTCCTGAAATAAATTTGGTAGGTCATGAGGTAATAAATAATACATAAAGGCTAAAAAACATTTACTATGTTTCTGCCACATATAGTTCCTTTCACCTATATTTTCTCTTTAGTGGTATTTGAAAGAATATTTTCTCATGGTGTGAAACGGATACATTCCAATAGCAGACCATGTCTTTACATTCTACAAACAAAATGTGCTGTTTATATTAATTATTTACATAAATTAAGCAGAAATCCACATTTTGAACACCCAGGGCTGTTATTAGGCGTAAAATGACCGTTTCCTTGAACATACTGTAGGTCAAGTTGTTCTACCAGCAAATGCAGCCAAGCTCATGCAAACCAAAACCAGAGAGTTGTCTTAAACGGGAACTAAACTGAACTAAAGATGTGATTTGTAAACAGGTTCAAGTTCATGTTGCATAGCACTGGTAAGCATAGGTAGATGTTATGAAGCTGCATATGCATATGCATGCAGCCAGGCTGCATATGCATGCAGCCAGGCTGCATATGCAAACAAATAATTAGTTCATAAATCAAAAATAAAAGGATAACTAGCATCTATTAAAAACCAAGTACAGTAGAATTTGTGTGGTAGCAGTGCTTTAAACAACTGTGCCATGACTGAAAAACTCTAGGGAACTGTTTGGTTCCAAAGGCTGGATCATTTGAGAATCACTGCTCTTCAACATTGCTGAGTTTATCTACCCAAATCAGTTGGTGACTTTGGGTTGGCAGTTTTTTATTTTTATTTTCACGTATTAAAATAATGCTAATGTTCTAAATGTGCATAGCTTTAGTTTAACTTTCTTATTTGTACAAACCACAGATAAAATCATGTAAAGTCCACTTTTAACATGTTTATTTATTCAGAAACCATTTATGAAATGGGACCAGGGCATTTACTGATGCCTATTTACTGCTAATGACACTGAACATGCAGCTTTGTCCAGCTATTTACAGAAAAAAAAGCATAGTTGCCTTTTACAGCAAATGAGAAAAAGTTGATTGGAACTTCCATCCTGTTTACGTTCCATTTCTTTTAATACTGCTATGTCATACTGGACATTTGAGTAGAAGTGGGCTTGGTTTAATTTTTTTTTCTTTCTTTTTTGCCAAAGGATGTTTGCACTGATAGACCATATTGTCTTAACTGGGAAAGGTCATGTTTTGCCATTAGTTCCATAAATAACATTATACTGTTTACATGTGTGGAGATGAGAATTATAAAAGCAATATGTTATTTATAATATATATATTTGCATCAAAACGCCTTGTTCTCACCTGCAACATTAACATTTTGTTGACTCAACTGGTCAGCTGGTTTGCTGTGAATTAAAATTAGTTTATTGCAGAGAACAATCATAGTTGCACATAATTAAATATATACATGTTTGTAATGGAGTGTGAAAAAGGATATTGTGAATTGTACCATCCTTGACTTAATATACAGTGTATATAAGAGTTAAAGTTAAGATTCAATATGTCAAACATTTTCTGTAATACAAAAAAATACAGAGAACTACAAAAATGAAAATATTCACCTGGTACTTTATTACCAGAATTAGAATTAGATTAGAATCAATGTCTGTTAAAAAGATACATAAATATTCAAGTGTTTTCCAACAGATTAATATCAAGACCCAGATCAGTGAATAAATCTTGAAAAGGCAACTTTAATTACCATTTCTGTAGAAACTTATGTATTTTTATACCCCAAAAATTCTTCTGTGAACCTTTGGGTCCATACCAGTGTATGAGAAATACTAAAGCATGTGACAGTTTTATTTAAATTATTTTGGTTTTGCAGAAATATCTATATGAGGTTTACATACACCCGGCTTCTGCTTTAGGGCAGTGAGGTAGTAAGAAAAATGTATATTATTATTAACTGTATGATGGAATGTATTGTCTTTATTGCACCTGCTATTGTTGTATTTATTTTTTAAGCTGGAATCTGTGCTCACCACCTCCAGTGTTGTCCAGTGATTCCCAACCACTATTTTGCACTCTGAAAACTATTATTTAATGCAAATAACTCATCTCTTTCTTTCCTTTATGCAACAGTGACAGACAGAACAATGAAATGCTCTTACACTAGGTGGCAGCAGATTGCTTTAAAAACGAAGGCAAGAGGCTGCTTTTGAAGAAGATATCCCTGTGTCTTTCTTCAGTTCCTGTGAGTATATCAGCATTGTGTTTAACTAAACAAGTCCACACTGAGTAAGTAAATACTGTATATCATTATATTGCATTACATATATTTTTGGTGACGTTTTTGGTTGGTGATGTGCCATGGTGTTTTTCTAATGTGAAATGTTTAATGTGGCTCAAAAACCATTGGGAAAATCTGGTTAAAACTTCGTCACATCGTCCTGAGCTCGATTTGCTTGTGTTTTTTTGAGTTGAGGCCTTCACTGTCATTTGCCCCAGTCTGTGCTATTGGATTGAAATACAGCAGGACCAAGTTACTGTAGGCTCAACTGAGCAAATGGGGATGAGGCTCCTTCATGTTTTTTAATGCTCTTTGGTATTTTATTTCACTTTAGCAGCCGAATTTATCTACACTTGTTTGAGACAACTATTGCCGTTATTGAATTATTTTAGTTTTTGTTAAGTCATACAGTATGTATTTAATCATTTGTTAAGAAGTTAACGAAGTAAAGAGCAGTCAAAGACTATGTGAAAAGTCAATTTATCAAAATGGTTTTTGATATATTCTTAGGATCGTCTGTCTTTAACTACAGTATGTGGCTCATACTGTTTTAACTTTGTTGGATTATTACGTGTCACCAGTCACAGATGCTGTAGTATTTCACAGTTTATATATAGAGTGTTTTAAGATGTGGCTGGAATAAATAATTACAGCGTGTTTGTTTAGGGACTGAGCTATATTTTCAACATTTTGGCTAAATATTGAAATTTTTCTACCCTTTAATTTTCTTTAACTTTCTTTTCTTTGTCCAAGTTATATGTCTTAACAGTGGAGAAAAAAAAAGTTGTACATGCACAAGATCCTGAATCATCTTTACACACCATGTTACGCCCCACATCTGTTGATAGAACCAAGTCAAACAGAGGATTTCATCTGTAGTCAGTGTTATTAAGCTGGGGGTTAAATTCCTGACAGCCTAGTTTCTTCTGTCCTGTATGAATCAGAGCAGCGGCGTGTTTGTAGAGGAGGTGAGATCAGGTAGAGTCAAGTAAATCTTCTGCAGACGTTCTTACAGTTAATCTACTTACTGTACACTGCTGGGGACTGAGACTGTGCTGCGGCTCTGCCACAGCTACAGGTTGTTGTCTCAATGCCCAGTGATGTCCAGTGTGTCTTTAGCGAGAGTTTAAAATATCATCCATCCACCAATCCATCTCTCCATCTTCTAAGCCTCTGTCCAGGGTTTCAATTCGAAGTAGAGGCACTCAAAGTTATCAATTGCAGGTCCTTGTATGGAGACAATGAATGAAACTAGTTGAATAAGAGTTGAACATTTTGTTTTAACTTCTGGGTCAAGTAAAAGGAGTGAAGAAAAAACTTGTTTTAAAGATGTAAAAGGCTAAATTATGAGAATAAAGAGCCAGAAGTTAATGAGAAAAATATTTTATTAGAACAAAAAAATATTATGAGAGTAAACCTGTAAAACACTTTATCTCAGTTTTATTCCCGGAAAAGACAAAACTTTATAAGCAGACCAAGACTATTACAATTCATAATGAAAGTCATTTTCTTCTCAACAACTTATTTCATCAAAGATATCATGTTCCTGGCACACAGTTGTCCGAGGCAGAATAGCCCATTGCGAAACTATTAGTACTATTTCTAGTACCACCAGTTCCTCTACTAACGTAAGTAAAAGTTACTAGCGGTACTAGTCGAACCTTTTTTTTTTAAAAAAAAAAAAAAAAAAAAAAACTTTACAACGTCTCACAATTGTCTTGGAAGGCAGGGATTTGAACCCAGGTCTCCTGCACCATTGTCAGAGGTTGATTATTTGATAAAATAAAACCTTTATAAACGTTTGAAATTAGTAGTTTATGAAGCAAAATAGAGAAGAGAGAAGTTAGTTTAACAAACACATGTTAATCTTTATACATTTTAGCTTCACTGTACATTTTTAAGTACATTCATGTAGCTCAGTTGATTTAATTGATTTTCAAACTGACCCTTTATCTTGTTTTCCAGTGTGTGAAAGGTCTCTGAGCAACTAAGAGTTCCATCTGCCCCATCTGCAGGTCTAATGAGTGTGTGATCAGTGACGAAAAGGTGCTCAGAATCAGCCATCATACGTTTCCACACAGGAGGGGCCCTTGTTTCCTGGAAGATGGGAGCCTCACGCTCACAGGGGACCGGGACAAGGGTGTTATTGTGCAGAGAGACAGAAGCTAAACTCAACCTGATCGCTGCTCCACCAATCACAGTGCTGGAGTGGGCAGGTATCCTCTGTCTGCCCTCTGGGAGAAGAAGTCAACGGTCAGCAGAGACAGAGAGCACCTGTTTGACGGAGAGGACAGAAGGTTAGTGTGTGGTTCTTAAAAATGGGATTTAAATCTACCCCCCCCCCCCCCAAAAAAAAAAAAACTACTTTAATTTAACATAACATTGGAACAACTGTGATGATAACAAAGCTGACCTGTGTATTTAGCACGGAGCTCCATGCATCTATTCAGCTGTACACTTGGTGGTAACTTTAGACCAGTTACTCTCCACCATAAAAGTGAGTTTTGATAAAAAACAAAAACAAAGAAATGTAATGATCATACAAATCTGAAGCAAGAGAAAATCAAATTTTCTCTTGCTTCTGCAGTATGTAGAAATATGGAAATTGACGGCAGTTTGTTTTCAGACATCACTAACAAAATGTGCATACAAAATAAAACCTTTGGTTCAAGTCCTTTTAATAGGAAGCAGTGGTTCCCAACCTTTTTTGGGTTGTGTCTCCATTATGACATCACAAAATTCTGGTGACACCAGGGACATTTTATTTTTTCTATTATTAGTTTTTGATCATCTTCGTTATACTGCCAGATTTGTGCACAGAGATGCAGTTTATTTTCCAGTGCCAGCTCAGATAACTTTACATGCTCCATTTTATTTGAACTCAATTTATATTCATGAACTTGAAAGAATACAGTTGTTTAAGATTGTCTATGTTTTGAAACGCAATAATAATTAGTTCAATATTAGAAACTGAGTTTATTTTTTTAATAAATAGACATTTCAGTCACCTTAGGGATTTGAGGCAACCTCATTTGAATTCCAGAGGTCACTTCAAATCCCCAAGGTGACCCCAAGGTTGAAAAACCCAGAAACCCAGAGATCTTAAACACACAAAAACAAATATCAGTTTTGTTTGATATAAATCCTATAAATGACTCTAGTGTAAAGAGCTAGTGTAAATCTGTTCTTCATTTTTCATTTTTGTCCAACTACAACATTCAAATAATCGAAAAATGAAAAGATATGAGGGCATATCTGGGCTATGATCAAGAGGAACAAATGACTTTGTAGTTTATCCCTACAGATCATTTTTCCATCATTCAAATCTTTGGCAAAACTCGGAGAGATTTTGGCAAATTTTGGCGATCCAAGACGAAAAACACTTCTTCATTAAACATTTATTAGGACTTCAACTACACCGAGTAGTTACGAAATCATCTTAACTCCTCCCTCCTCTCCCAGCAGGAGGAGCGCTTCCCCCTGGACCACTCAGTCTCCTCCCTGTGCCTATTGGTGCGTACACTGAGACGCGCATCCACGCCCGCTCTCGCAACGCACAGATGCTAGAGCCGTGGAGAGAGACGCACCGAACTCGTTGAAACTGAACAGAGTGAAGACTGTGGGAGAAGATCTTCTGGCTTATGTCTATCCATGACACGGAGACCGAGGAGAACGATGCTTAGAACCGGTCTGACTGCGACCTAAAGATCTGTTCGCCATCCAATCTGGCACCATTTGACACGTTTGATAAGATAGAGGAGAATCCGAGCTGCGCGCGTCACTCAGCGCACTCTTCATCCTAAAGTCTTGTTTGACGTCTACTCCTGGTTTCTTCTGGACACGATGTGGAAAACCGGGGTTCTCCTGGTCCCGGGGCTGCTGCTGGTCCTGGTCTCCGCTGAACTCCAACAGGAGGAAGAGGGATCACGGAGACTCCCCCCGCCAGTAAAGTTGGATTTCGGTTATGTGCCAGCAGGACTTTACGAGACAGTGGCACACTACGAGCCCGGTCCGATCGGGATTCTGTTCCAAATGGTGCAGGGGTTTCTGTGCGCGGTGCAGCCCAACGCTTTTCCACAAGGTAAGATTCCACATCCACACAACATCCAGCTCTAGTGCATGGAGGGATTCCAGTGTTTACGGGGAATGCAGAAAACAGAGTAGTGGTTAACAATCTGTGTTCTGGAGTGAAAAATCAATTACACTCCTGACTTTGATCTGGGAATACTGATAAAATGTCCAACTCCTTCAAAGATTTGGAAAAATGACTGGAATCTGAAACAGGTCTGAGTTCTGCCTGGGAATAAGGCACACCCTAACCTTAGAAGTCAAAATTGTGGAAATAAATGTGGAATTCTGACTTATATTACTGCAGAAAAAGAGCCATGTGTTGATGGTCTGGAAATTCAAAATATACAATAAATAAAAAAAAATGTAAGAACTAAGGAAAGATGACAAATGGATAAGATCAGGGTAGAATCTTAAATCAAATCTCTGAGGAATAAAATAATTTGATTACATTAGATAAAAATGAGATATTTGATTTTTATTATTACATAGGCCGGGAAAGGAAAAACAATTCAAAATCGTATTTTAAACTTGTGGTTACCATTATTTTTTTATTTATATATAATTCTTGATTTTTCTTTTAATTCTGAGGAAAAAAAGTTTTAAAATTCAGAATCCGGACATGAAAATTTCAACTTGATTATCAAACTAGGCATAAGAATTTGGAGATTCAAGAAGAATTCATTGAATTCTGTAATAATCACAGTTCCTATGAGACTTATACCCCCTTCATGTGGCTCTTATTTTTAATTGCGCTGCAAACTGACAGCTGACTTGTTGGTGCGTTTCAGCCTGTGGCCCAGATTGTGCCAAATTAATCACAGCACTGAACACTTTCTGACAGCCTCGTGGGTCTGCGCTAACACATGCATTAACACAGGCTAAAGTCTTGAATGACGACTGATAATGTTGCCTTTAATGTCGCCCCCTACAGACATCTAGAGCACCTCAGGACACAGTGGCTACACATTTAATACAATTAAACCCGACTATGTAAACAACACACATGAGGTGTGCATGATTAATGGGGTCGCAAAATCCTCAAAGATGACAAACATATCCCACTGTTAGCCCCGGACCAGTGTCCTTCCTACTACAGTAGAACATTTTGCAGATTAACAGTTACCCAGTCACCTTGTTAGATGCATAATCCCATAAACCCTTGCGCCATATGTTGTTGGCCTTTTAGATTCCAGTTTGCCACTAGCAGCACTTAGGGGCTCATTATTGTCTGATTTACAGTATAACACACACAGGCCATCCTACAGCAGGTTAGCATTGTTCATTCATGGGTGAACCAGCCACATGTTGGAACACAGAGAATGAAATGTAGCTCTATGGAGCAAACCATTTCCACCAAGCTTTGCTGAGAGAAATTCACCAAGGTTTTAAGTTAAAAATGTATCAGAAATAAAAACGAACAAGTGTAAACACAGATAAGGAGCGATAACTAACGACATCCTGATTGAATAATCACAAATCTACTGTATGTCAAAGACAATCAAATACAAAGACAGCAACAATGGGACTGTTTGATCCACACTGGTGTGACTGGTTTAGAGGAAACCAGCCTCAAAGCATCAATCAATCTTCTGATTTTTCTCTCTTCCTTTCCTCTGTTCTTTGATGTCAGGGTATCAGCTAACAAATAAGTCTCTTGGTATTAAATAAGTCATAATTTTCTTCAGCGATGGTTTATTAAAGGTGTTGCCTACATCACTTACTAAAACAGACATCGTGTTTCAAACTGCAGAGGCGAAACTCACCGAACCTTGTGACGTTCTCTATACTTTGTTTTATTGGTGATTTAAGTTGAAAGCTCTAGTTTAGTGTCTTATTACCTCTGGTTCATTAAGCAAACATTTAAATTACAGCTACAGTAACTACATCCATCATTTAAAACACAGAAACACCTCAAGGATTAACTTAACGTAAAAATAATCCTCCATCATTTCACTTAAAGCATTTAGACATAATTCATGAACCGAGCGGCTCTAACTCCATGAAACATCTCCGGCACTGCGTCTTTTGCAATCACTGCATTGTGCGACACTTGCTGCTTATTTTACTGACATGTTCACATGTCTTTTGTCTTCGATTCTCTGAGTTTTGCACAACCTCTGAGCTCGTGCGTGTCATATGCAGCAACACGTCTACACCCTGAGACGCACAGAAAGCAAATCAGCCATGACATTCCCTATAAACTGTTTTTTATTGTCTTTTTAGCTGTGCAGTAGTCAACACCCTTCCCTCCCTCACACCTACTCACACACTCATGTGATGTGCCAACGCACAGACTAATTCATAACAGCATCAAACGATGTTGAATATTTAACCTTGCTGCGTTTGTGAAGCTGTTAAAGTAAAGATGAAGTTTTAGTGACTCATTTGAATATCAGGATCAGAATCAGGTGACTACAATTTGCAGTATTTCTCAGTTAAAATTGGACAATATAGGACATTGTTTCCCATAGACTGGGTCGTGACCCTCAGGTGGGTCTTTTTTTTTGTGACTTTTACAATATGGGTCCCCAGAAAAAAAAGTTTGGGAAACACTGGTATAGGAAGTGCAATTATTGCTGGGAGACAGATGTATGATAAAAGTTTAAATGTTGTATTGCACGAAAATGTGGGCCACAGAAGGTGGTGTTCTTTGTTGTACTGTCCCAGCTGAGATTGAACATGCAATGTGTGACAGTCTTTCTGTCTTAGTCAAATGTTTGCTTTCTTTTAGGAAGGGGTTGTGCTGTGCTGCAGCTCTGTGGGTAATAGGGTGACATGCAGTGTGTGTGTGTGTGTGTGCGCGTGTGTGTGTGCGTGTGCGTGTGCATGTGTGTGTGAGGTCGATGCAAATAGAACGAATGAATAGCACTCTTGTTAATCCTGTGAATTCCTTGTTTTGTTTAGTATTCGTTTATTATGGCAAGAAATGTGTATGAATGAAAGTTCTAATAAAAGGAAGTTAAAAAAGACCTATAAAATACATACGTACGTAAACACAGTCCTCTGAACAGAAAGTGAGCAGAGCTTTCACTGCAACAGAGCATTTCAATTGATAACACTGTGTCCTGCTTTCCAGTAAACAGTGTCACTCTAAGTAACTGAATTAACATACACAATGTTTGTTAAATAAATCTAAAAAAAAAGGTGAGGTGAAAACATCTACCCCATTGTGCCATAAAACTGATGAGGGACGTGGCGTATTCAGCACTATGGTGCAGATTTAGGTGGTTTCTAAAACTGTGTTTATTCTAACTGAGAAAACCTTACAGTAAGTCTTTCTCCTGTTTTACTCCCTGACTTAAAAATACCTCCCAGCTGCAGGCAGTATTGCTGCACTTAAATAAACTACGCATTAGGGCAATGAGACACTGAACTACAGTAGGAAGAGCAGTGGACTGGCAGTGCAGCTGGTTGCGGTGTATCACAGAGTATCTGTGGTTCTAATAGAACAGTATATTACATTACACCAGTGGTTCTCAAACTTTTTATACTCTGTAGCACCTGAGAAAACATTGAGCTCTCTGAGTACCACCATGATGACCAACATTAGCATATAGCAGCATAGGCCTTCCCTATTAGCTTCATCCACACAGGATAGATGTTTTTAAATGTTTAGAAAGATGTTTATAATTAAATGTTGTATTAATTGTGTATGGTATGTATTGAAAATGTAAATGTGAAAATATGAATTTTCCCCGCGTACCACTAGAGAGTGCGTACCAGTGGTACGTGTACCACAATTTGAGAAGCACTGCACTACACTATCGCAGAAGTATTTGGATGGTTTTTGGCCAGAATAGAATGTTGATCTGATGTTTGGAGAGTTTTTCAGTCATTGTCAATTGTCAAGAAATGTTTTTGCCCTTTAGTTAATGCCTCTGTGCCTGCTCTGAGCTTTGCTGTGGGGGGCGGGGCATGTGTCTAGTGCCTCTATATATCCATTACTGTTCAGTTGAAAGTTATACCTGCGCAGAAGGAGGGAAGTTAGATTTTGAGGCAGTATTTCACATCCTATTTCATCCACTCTGACTCACAGGGAGCGATCCAACATTGGTGATGTGTTTTGGGCTCAAGGACATTTCAGCATGAAAACATGACTGTGGGAGAGCACACAATAGACACCGGTGACCTTCACTACACGAGGAACCTCCATTACTCTGCCCAAACTCATTAACACAAAGAGTAAACTCAGCATATTGATTAGATTTATAGCTCCGTTTTCCAAGGTTTGTAATTAATCTCTCTGTATGTCAGCCGTCGCTTAAGAACACAGTGGAATCAGGCTCTTTCTGCAGCGTTAAGTTTATCATTTCACGCCTGTGGGTGAGCATAGCTGGGGAGTCTGTGCCAAACACCGCTGTGCATCAGATCCCTGTTGGAAAGACTTTCCTCATTAGTGTCTTTGCTACGTTCTCTTAGGAAACCACGCCTATAGGTATAGAACTCAGACAACAGAGGGAAAATCTGGGATTAATTTTGAGAAAAGCAGCAGTTGCCAGGGAAACCCATTGGTAGTGACGGTCTTTTTTGTTCACCTTGCTGGGTGAGTGCAGCAGATCTCACTGATGCAGAGTTATCTGAGGTAGAAAAAAAATATTACCAACCAGTTCATACACACACAGAGATTCATGCAGCTATGGTAATGAGATCCATGCAAGAGTTTTCTAATACTCATCAAAGGGTGAGTGGGCGATGTATTTTTCTGACAACAACAGTGGTGCTGAGGGACTTCAGCAAAGGACAGCAGAGATTAAAGAAACGAAAAAAAGGAATGTTTGAAAAGATTTCTCACCAAGGGCAGACAAGAGACGGTTAAGATCTTTGAGTGCATCAGTGATATAATAGAATAATAAAGGAGAAGATGTTTTGAGTTGTTGCTTCTTTTTAGACAGATATTTAGTCGGGTATCAAGCTCTTCTCTCGGGCGACATGGTGGAAGGGTTCTGTTGCCTTACAACGAGAAGGTCATTGAGTTGGTATTCCCATATGGAATTTGCATCTTTTGTTTTG